ATGTATACTCTCGCCAAATTTCGACTCTTAATATTAATAATTAAGGTCACTGCGATTAAATAATAAAAAAAAATCTTATCTTCTAATCAACTTAGAACAACGATTTTTTTTAAATTCGAAGAAAAATAGTACTAACTAAACTATAGAGGTTACTATTTCACTTTATAATAATTACTTATCTTAACAATTTAATAAATATTAACATTTTTTCAGTCATTTTTAAACAAATTAAATTTGAAAAATTAAATTCTCGGTAAATGCATATGTTAATACAACTATTTAGGTACAAAAACAACTAATTATCGAAACTATACAACGCCTTTGAGCTTGGGAACAATGAATTGAAAATAGCATCTTCTTAGATAACAAATTTCGCCAACGCCAAACCAACGAAGCATTCGGGTTGAAATTTTTACCACTTATTAAAGGTGTAAAAAGCCTAAAAAATACTGAATTACAAGTGTCTGCGATGAAAATTGCATTAATTATTAGCAATTGAAAAAACCAGCCATTTTCGACCATTTTTGAGCTCTTGCGCATAAACAAATTATCGGAATTTAATCGGACTTTTTTCATTTTATAGGCTTATTTAATACCTACCTTTTTTGTATAAACTTTTTTTCGCTATGAATAACAGTTTTTTTACGCTAGTCAAAAAACCACTTTTCCATAACTTTGACCATTGTTTAAACAAAGTTTCCCAACTAGCTTCGAGTTGATTTTTTGATATTTTGTTTATAACACGTTTCCGAACAATATTCCGCAGAGAAACTTCTAATAGTATTTTTTTCCCGAAACAGGCTGTTTCATGTCTATAATGACTGGACTATATGGAATAACAACAGAACAAAATGAATTCCTCAGAGTTTAGTAGCTACATCTTCGCACACCCTGAGTTATAGGGTTACGGGGTTATGGGGTTAGAGAAATCCACCAATCCTGTCATGTAGTTTCAATGAGATCATAAATTCAAATGTTTTTTCTATTCACTGACTGCTCAAGTTATATCGTTATATTTGAAATCTCGACAACTGCTTTCTAAAGAAGCTTCCTGATGTTAGGGTCAAAAGAAGACCAATCCGGAAAATTTGACTTTAGATTTGGATTCAGTAGGTAAAACATCACAGAGCACACTGGTCTGGTCCACGGCCTAGGCCATTTTTTTTTGGTACCATTAATGGACAATTTTTTGAGAGAAGCCAAGCCACCCACCTATACCATCTACAGCACCCTTTCCATGACCCGTTGCAGAAAATATCCATTGTTTATTCACACTTGCATTTTTAAATTCATTTAAATGAAAGCGGTTTTTGAAATGACTTGCAGTGCCATCAAAAACTAAGGAAATAGAATTGATCGAATTGACATAAATTTCTTGTGTGTGCCTGGGAATATTTTCAAGAATTTTGTGCATTGCTAACAAAGCATCAGAATAATCATGTTTTAAATCTTCACTAATTACTGTATATACAGTAAAGCATTATGCAACAGTGCATAATTTATGCAGTTTCGAATCTGATGCTATTCAAAGTACTAAAAGTTTTGTTGAAAATGTAACAAAGTACCCAACGTCAATACAGCTAGTTTTAATGGAAACAGCAGAAATCAACGATTTTCGTGTTAGTAAATGGAACAAAGAAATGTAATTCAGAAATATGAGGGTATTCAAGGATGCCACATATGGAAGTCTGTTATCTCTAAAAGGGAGACTAAATGTTTTACGAACTGCTGCACATCCCTGGATAAGACCGTAGAAAAATAAAAAAAAGTTATCAAAAAGAAGCAAAACGTAAAAAAATCATTAGCAAAAAATGGACAAAAATTTTACGAAAATAAGGACAAAAAGTGAAAGTTGCAGCACAAAAAGTGAAGAAAGTTGTAAAAGAAAACAATTCAAAAAGAAAAAAAAGCGAATTGATCATGTAAATTTAGATTACTTGTATATGTGTAATTGAATAGAAATGAATGTTTGATTTTATTCACGTTATTGTAGTTTTTTATTTTTAAGTTTTATGCGATAAAAGGCAAAAGTAGCAAATTTCAGAAAGATATAGATTTGAAGGTATTGGTACTAAGAATCTCCAAAAAAAATTTGACAGCAAAAAAATATGGCCTTTTTGAGGAAAATATATTTTTTTCGAAGATGCACTTTTTTAAAAAATGCATTTTCTGCCGAACAATGCATTTATTCACATTTTTGAAAAGGTAGATTTGAAGGGCTCCATTCCCTCTATCAGGTAAAACAAAAATTATTTTAGTGTCAAAAAATACGCAATCAAAATGTAATAGGAATTTTTTTTTACTTTTTCTCTTCGGCAATGCATTTTTCGAGTATATAATAGACGGAACTGTACGTCTGAGAGGAAAAAGAAAAAATAGGGGTCCTCTTATTTTTGACCTTGAACAATAAAAAAATATTTTGGACTAGCTTGGTGACAGGTCCACATGGAGCTCTGCATGATTTGAGAGGAATCGGCCCTTAGCCAAATAATTTTCATATTTTGGGTGACCCTATAATCGCCTGGCCACAGTTGGACTTTTTTGTTGAAATACTGACACTACATTTCACAGATTTTCTATTAATTTTAACAGTTTTCAAATTAGAAATCAAAGATACAATATTTTTTATTGGTAACCAAAGTTCACCATGGGGCTTAGTTAAAAACCGGGTGTTTTGCACTTTCTAGAAACATTCACAAAAGTTAAGTATATCCGTTTGCTTTTTTCTAAATAAAAAGGTGACTAAAAACCAAATGCACCGCTAACCGGAACCTGGTGTCAGTTATACAGGGTGTCCCAGAATAACGTGTACAACGGAAGACCACAGATTCGTGGACTCAAAATACGCAGATTTAGGCTAATTCACTTATATCCAAAATCACTTCGTTTGGCCGCTAGATGGCCTCAAAAATCGTGGAAATTTTTTGAATTTTGTAAATAACTCCTAAACCCTAAAGAGGAAAAAGTTATGAACGGATATTTTCACCATATATCAATTTTGTAGGAGTTGTAAGTTTTGAAAAACACTGTATAACACCAAAATGTGTAGATTGAAAGCAAAATTCCACACCCCAAAAATAATCGAAATCGAATAATAAGCATTTGAGTTATTTACAAAATTCAAAAAATTTTCACGAACGAAGCGATTTCGGATATAGGTGCATTAGCCTAAATCTGCCTATTTTGAGTCCACAAATCTGTGGACTTCCGTTGTACACGTTATTCTGGGACACCCTGTATAAGTTGGCTATAAAGAAAAACAAGTTTACGATCATATACAAACTATACTGGCACATTTTTTAAATTTTTTGTAAAATTTTATTTTTTTTGCAGTTACAGTTATTTCAATTTTAATTTGATACTAACAATCTATTTCTCAAACTTTATAATGCTAGCACAAAAAAATGGTTTTTCTACAAGTTAATTAGAAATTTTTCTTTTGCAACATTATCGTTTTCAAGATCTCAGGGTTGGCAATCCATAACTTCGTTTTTTATTTTCCAAATTATCCATTATCAAAATATCACTAATATTATTTTTCACCAATATACTACAGGTATACAGGGTGGGTCACCAGTAACGCCTCGGTCACTAGTGACCAAACGGCAAATGTTACAGAAACCTGTTTAGGTGGGTATGTGTAGGTTGATTACAGCTACATTTTAAAAATATTTTGAAATATACAGGGTGTCCAGGAAAAGCGTACTATATCAAAGTTATATATTTTTAAATGGAACACCCTGTATTTTACTGCATTTTTTAAAGCACCATAAAAAAATAGGTGAACTTTATTAAAGGCTCTGCATACCTAGGACTTACAGTGTGTGAGATATTTAAATTTTAGTGAAAATGCAGGCTTAGCGCAGAAATTTAATATTTGCAATAAAAAAATAATTTTCAGGAAGCAGCTTTGGAAAGTGTATTTTAGAGCCTTGAAGGTATAAATTATTATATTTGTCGTCAGTATTATACAGGGTGTTCAAAAAACTGCTGAATACTTCTCTCAACTTTAAACAGCAATAACTTGGTTATTTTAAATGGGACACCCAGTATATTTTTACTTTGGGAGTTAGGAAATTTAAAACTCTTTCAAACTGTGTATAGGTTCCCTATACCTGTCTCTAAGGGTATTGGAGATATTTGTGCCGTTTCGTTTTTTATCGATTTTTTTTGTAAGATACACCACGTGTCTTTATCGAGGTCTTTATTAAATTGGTTTGGGTTCTTCTTGATGACGTCTCTTTAAATATATTGAGAAAAATGAGGATGCAATTAGATGGCGCACCTGCAAATTTTTCATATTCAGTGAGAAATTATTTATATCGGAAATTTAGTAATAAATGGATAAGTAGGAATGGTGCATGTCAGTGGCCACGTAGGTGTCCAGACCTCATCGTAATAGACTTCTTTGTTGCGAGCTATATAAAAAAATTTGTACACAATGTTCCGCCTACTACTTGCGATGATATTGAAGGGAAAAATTAGAGATGCATTTGCGTGAGAATATCATGTGAAGATAGAATAAGATGATGTATTCAGGAGAATGATTATCAATTCGAATATCAATTAAAATTTTTCTTTGTTTTTTTCTAAAAGTAAAATTTCCTTTTATCATTATCATGACAATATTCAAAAAAGTTTTCTAATAAAAATTATTGTTTTATAAGCAGGATAATTATAAAAAGTTATTAATTTTGTATAAATATGTTTGTAGTAAGTAACCGAATTATTTATGAACATAGAAAATATTTATTAAAGAAAATTTTACTTTTAGAAGAAACAAAGAAAATTTTTAATAGATGTTCGAATTGAAAACTATTTTCTTGAATACAGCATCTTATTCTATCTTCAAATGATATTCTCACATTCCTTAGAATATTTGGGGTGATTGTGGCAAATGTATCTCTAATCCTTCCTTTCTGGACCACCCTGTACAGTTTCTCCTCACAAGAAAATGAAACTATTGTCGAATCGCTTACACAGTAAATAATAATTTCACATTTACGTCAAATAGTTTTAATAACAGTAGTACCACTACAATATAAGTAACACTATGCAGGTATCACAACAAAAGTAAATCGTATATATTATTCACAAATAAATAAATAAAAATAATACGTAAGCAGGCAAAATGATCACTACATACTGTCTGTTCAACTCAGCTTTGGCAGATCTAAGCTATGGATTACCGCATACGTAAATTCTTGTGTACTAGATTGTCCTCCGACATCTTTCGTTCTCACTTTTCCTTCCTTGAGCACCTTTTCGACGGCGTTCCTTATCATATCTCCATAAACCGGGAGATTCACATGCCTCAGCATCTTGGAAGCACACAAGAGCATGGCTGTCGGATTAGCCACATTTTTACCTACTGCTTCTGAATAGGTGTGACGTGCACCCTGTAAATGATAAAATTTTGGAAAGTTAAATATTTATTTAAAATTTTTTAGAAAGTGGAAAAAATGTCTCATTTTGAAATATTGAAAAATAATTTAGAATTTTCACAAGTTAATTTCAATTTTTTCAAGAACAATGAGAATTTCTATTATTTTAAAAGATTATAAAAATATTTCGTTCTCAAGCATTTTACAACACTAATTGCAGGTCATTTAAAAAAGTTAAAAAATCTTAATAGAAAAAAACATAACAGACTTTGCCCATGTTGTATAAATAAAAATTACTTATTAGGGACAATTCATATTAGGCGCTCCGGTACACTATGCTCACAACTCATTCTCGTCGTTGTATCTCGCTAAAGAATTATTGACAGTATTCATACTGAATGCTCAACTAATGCACACTTTCAGTGCATTCTAGTGTCATCGTGTCATTTTGACTGACTGACAAAGAACATAAAACTGTAGAAGAACTTTTTAATATATATGAAAGATTTACAAACAATAAAAGAAAGTACTTCCAATATTTTCATATGACAAAAGATACATTTCACTACATTTTCAATAAAATTTCATACACCTTGAAAAAAAAAAACTACATTGCGAGAGGTTATCACACTATCGGAAAAGTTATCTGTTTGCTTAAGGGGTAAGCCACTATAGAATTTTGAAAAAATCGCTCTTCATAAATGATTTAAACAATGCTTTATTACATGATGAATAAAAGAATAAGTTTTAGGAGGGGCAAAATCGGGAACACGAGATTTTTCAAATTGGAACGCACTCACAACGCGCTGCATAAGTGCTTATTGTTAACTCGTGAGAACGCGTGTGATAGTTAGCCGTTGTAGAGACCAGATTGAGTCTCAGATCAAGCCGAAAAGAAGAGGATGAAGAAAATGTCAATATAGGTCAATTATATAGTACAGGCATCGCTGACTGAAGATATACCTGGTGGGGCATTTATATTGAGACAAAATAATATCTTAATTGGACTCGATTATTTCGAAAAGTTTCAGATAAAAATTATAGGGCACCGAGGGGGCCATTGAAAGGTCCATATTATGACTTCTGGTCTAGCCTGGAAGTGATGTTTTTAGACTGGAAGTGGATTTGTTTAAATGGAAACACCCATTTTTTACCATAAACAAAAAAAAAACACTTTTATATTATTATTTTTTCGATTTAACCCATATTTTGGCCATAAAATGTCCATAAAAACAAAAAAACAAGAATCTTCAGACAATGTAGTACTTTGTTCATTTTTTTTAATATTTCATACAAAAATTGTAGGGTGAAAAGGGGGCTATATTGGCACGACCTTGAAAATGACCTTAATTAATTTAAAAAAATATTGCAAATTTGTCCCAATCTATAAATTGTACCTTAATCAAATTTGAATTTTTGTGACCGTTTCGAATACTGTTCTCATTTGAGATGCATCAAATTATATGAATTCAACGAGAAACTTCGTAATTTGTAGCAAAGAGAATCTAATAAATATGATAAGTTTTTTGGATAAATTGTGACGCTGAATTTACAATTTTCTTAAAAATATATTCGATTACAAATTTCTAGACTCATCAAATTTTTTCTATGAAAAATGCGCTGATGGTAATAAAATACTTAAGTGGAAATAGTTAAGGAAAATATTAAGAGATAACAAAGGTAAAAGAATTCCTTACCTTTATGAAAAAAATTTTAGCTACCCACAACATAAGTATATTTGTTCAAGCATAGGAGTATTTTTATAAATGTAATTACCTTGGTCATTACATGACAATAGATGTCACATTTTGATATAATAACCAACAAAAGTAAACTTTTTTGCCAAATTTTACAAACGAAGCCATTTTGGAGATAGAGGTATGTGCATTTATAGCAACATATTTTAACCCCAAGAAAATGAAGTCGTTCTATGTATATGAACAAAGAATATTAAGACATCCTGTATATTAATAAAGAAATATTTATCTAATTTATATTCTTACCGGTTCAAATACTACACAATTGGCAGAGTAAGAGGCACCCGCCACAACTCCAGCACCTCCTACCAAGCCAGAAGCCAAATTATCGACGATATTTCCATAAAGGTTAGGCGTCACCATTACATCGAACTGTTGAGGATTAGACACCATTTGCATAGTGCAGTTGTCGACGATCATTCTCTCAAATTCTATTTTTGGGTACAACTTGGCCATCTAGAAAAACAGAAATATTTATATGTATAATATCTAACAAATTGGTTATAAGTTTTTAAATCAATGTACAAAAATGTATGCATTATTAATAAATTGCTATTATATTTTAAGTAAATTAAAATATAGTTTGTTATTTGAAATACTAGTAGTGATAGTTTATATAAGTTATAACATTATTCTACATAACTCAAAGTACCCTGTTCCAATTTCTAAGAAATTTTAAAATATAATTGTTTCTGTTAGGGTTGCTGTTATGGTTGTCCGACCAATACCAGTTGTCTCCAATTGGACAACCAGCTTTAAATTTATTTCTTTTTATTTAATTGTGACCAGACATCTTAAGCAGGGAAACCACATTAGGACGTTAAAGAAATCGTTTTATTTTTATTCATAAATTGTTACTACTAATTCAAGATTTTGAGTTTAAAGCAGAATGCCCATAGGGTTAGCGCTCGGGTGCACAACAGGTAGGGCAGAGCGCTTGTTCAGGTAGTCACTTATTAAGTAAGAAAAGAACAGATACAAGCTCAGAACGATGCCTATGAGGAAGCAGAAGAAGATAAGGTGCCGGAATCGCTGATTGAGCAGTAAGCACTCGGTATTATTGATAATCTTCTCAAACTAGCTTTAGTTTTTTTTCAATCACGTTTTTCTCAAAACGACATTTTTTTAATTCAACATTCAAAAAGTTATGAACCAATCATTACGAAAAGTAAAAGTGTGTTTCATTATGACATTACAAAGAACATGAACTAACATTAGGATGATGTCATAATTTTAAGGATGTTTTTTTATTCAAAATAAGTGAAAATAATGGTGAAAATCAATATATTTTTTTCAAACGTGTCAAAATTTCAATTTTCACAATTTTTACCTACAATGAGGTTCGTATTTTTAGAAAACATGTTAATAATGCAGAAAAACAACCATTTTTCTTTCAGATCAAAATTGCGACCTCCACACTTAATAAAATAATGTCAAAGTTTGATCAAATTCTAATCAATCTGTCCCACTCATGAAAAACGTCTGAAAATCAGCCTCCTAATGTGGTTTCCCTCCTTAAGTTCTACTCTAACTTACTATTTGGAACCATAATTTTTAACCAGGTGGTCAAAAAATAATAGACCATCTTTGAATTACCAAATTTTACATAGGTTTATCATTTATTTTATGCAAATTGTTTCTTTAATCTTTTCAAATATGTTCTTTCGTTTATAGAGCGCCTTCCGAAAACTAGATGACCTAAATTAATGGGAATGAAGAGGTTTATTCCAATATCTTGGCGATTTTCTCTAAAAAAATATTTACTTGTCAGTTTTGTAATGTTTTCCAACCTTTAATTCATGTGTCTTTCTAATTAAGATTATTTAATACAACAGGTAGTTAAAAATAGATGGTTTACAACTAATTTATCGTTTAAAAATTTTTCAGATTAGAATGAATTTATTTTTACATTTAGTAATTTTACAATAACTATTTATTAGATTCATAAATAAGCATAAGTTGTTTGGACTTAGTCTAATCATTTATTAAATGGTTAAAAAAGGTGCCGTCTTATATTTTCATTATGTAAATTATGAGCCATTTGCTGCTTATGCAGAAACAGTTTATGCTTTTTCTTCCACAATAAATCTTTAATTGATGTTAAAGTTATTTAAACTTTAACAATAAATAATAAAATAATCTAATTTCTTTTTGGATCCAGTGAAAACTTCTTGTCAAAACATTTGATAATACGTTCTATAAAATTTTTATAATGCTTACCTCCTCACAACTTCTTAAAAACAATCCGTCACCAAGCTTCATGATATTGGCTTTATGGACCGCAGTAACTTTCTTCCTCTGGTTTTTAGTGGCATAATCGAAGGCAAATTTGGCAATTCGTTGTGACTTCTTGGCAGTAACGATCTTAAGGCATTCAACGACACCTTTAACGCTTTCATGCTCTAAAGCAGAGTATTCACCTTCGGTTTGTTCACGGATGATGACGCAGTCGATATTGCTGTGCCTGCATTTTATCCCAGGCAATGATTTGACATGTACGACATTGGCATATAAATCTAATTCATTTCTTAATTTCATATTCAATGTCTGTAGCTCACCAGTATGACTGTAGTCAGGGGTTGCCAAAATGCCCTTCAAGCATACTCTATTTTTCGTAATGGAATTAGCTACATCGTCCAATGGAGCGCTAAGGGTAGGATTTACCTCTGAAAAAAAGTAAGCCTCAAAATCTACTGGTATCCCTGCAGCCTTGAAGACTTCTTGAACTGAATAAACTAGTTCAGGGCCCACCCCATCACCAGGAATCAAAGTACAGGTAGTTCTAGCATCAGGGCGTTCTTTAAGACCAGTCTATAAAAAACAATTTATTTTTAATGTTCCAGCAGCAATTTAGTTTTAATTTTCTTTTTTTAAATATAATTTTCTTGCAAAGCGAAAATAATCCAAATGACTAAACTTGTGATGCGGCCATCAATAAAAAAAAAAAATCTAAAATCACTTGCAATTTATTCTTTTAATATTCCACATAACATAAATTAAAAAATGGGATGATTTTTTGTTTTTTAATATGTACACAGTATATAAAATAGCAATATTTATTATTATTATTTATCATTTTTATTGAAACAATATCCATTCAAAGTGGTTATACATATATTTGTTTTTATCATTTCATCAGTTTGGATGGCATTAGATTCAATTTACCAATAACACCAAAAAGGTAGTAAAGCATTTAAGATTTCATATACACCTCTTTTTAGTTTCGCTATTTGCAGTATGAAAATAAGAAAAATTTTATAAATCTGTAGCAAAAAATTTAAGAAAAATGTTAAAATCTTTTGCTAGAAAAGTAAGTAAAATGGCAGCAAAAATAAGATTTCTTACTCATATTCTAGACATTGTAGTAAGCAAAATTAAGATTAATAGTTTATAGTCATTAACAAAAAAACGATTTGGTATTAAAGCTATTATATTTTAAACTATACTGCTGAATACAGAGTAAGATAAGAATATATTCTTACCTCCTGTTAAATCATAAATAACAACAAATTGAAAAATTATGATATAGAATTTATTAATATACCAAGCCGCAAATCAAATATCACAATTTAACATTATTTTAACAGCGCCTATTCTACATTTCTGAAATTATTACTTACAGCTGCACTTGGATTGGAAACAGAATTGTGAATATTCCTAGCTGCAGTATTTTGAGCCGTCTAAAAAAAATAAATGTGAGTACTACTATAGTTATATCACCATACGTTAACCAAACTTTTTTTAGGCAACCAGAAGAAATACTTACTTGAATTAATATCCTTGAAAAGTTCCTTGCAAAAAGTGACATGGTTAATAAACCACTTATAAAATAAAATATTTTAAAAGCTTTTAAAAATAAAGTGAAAGTACCCCTATGTAAAAATTACTTAAATGTTAAATGTCAATTATGACATTTTACTATTTTACCCTACCACTCCTACCAGTTCAGTTACCACATTTGTCATTTTATTTTACTTCATGGAATTAAAGAACATCATAGAACATCCAAAATATTTATCTTTGTTTTATGGTCTGTTACAACAGTTCTTTAATATTTCTTGACTTGAGGGACATTTATTGTTGTTATGTTTGCAATCGTGATTATATTTACTTTGGCAAACGTACACTAGGGAGCGTGTGTCTGTGACGTCACAAAACGATCAGTCAGAGAAATATGTCGGCGTGCTAGAGGAACAAGTGATAGTTATTGTGTAAAAAAAGTATTGGTTTTTGCGGTATTCAAAATTAAATAACTAATTTCAAAAAGGACCAATTTCAAATTGTAATTATGGCGTCACATATTATTGGTAAACCAGAATATATAGTCGGAGGAAAATATCGTTTAGTTCGCAAAATCGGTAGTGGATCTTTTGGTGACATATACTTGGGTATTAATATCACAAATGGAGAGGTAAATATAGTTTATTCTCAGTAATTCTTTGCATATTATATTAAAACACCATTCTATGGATGAACAAATATACCCTTCTTTGTGTTAAAAGCTGACTTGCTTTGACACAACCAGGTTGCAATGGCAGCCATCTCAATCCCCAATCCGTTCTTTATTTACGTTATATTAAGTTCAAAGTGACAATCCCAGATTATTATTAAAATTGCGATGTTACAAAACAATTTTATGTGCAAAATTATTTTATATCCATTTCTGGATTGAAAACCCATTCATTTTCTAATATTTTGAAAGTAGGTTACAACATAGGATATTTAAGATCTTTATAACTTACAACACATTTCACAATTTTAAGTTTTTCTTCTGTATGTACATAACTATATAACATACGTATATTCCCTTGGAAAATCTTTAGTTATTTGCATTTATTTTTTGTGTTCTATATTACCTATTTTTATTACAACTACAAGTATAGTAACGACAGTTTATCTTTCACAGAAAATCTCTGAAATTATTCAGAACAATACCATAAAGATTATTTATATTCCCAATTATGAACATTTAAATCAAAACGTCACAAAAATGTGCAAAATATTTTCAAAAAATCTTGTAATTTACCTACTGTTTTTTTATCGTTAACAGGAAGTAGCTGTAAAACTGGAATCAATTAGGGCAAGACATCCTCAACTTTTATATGAAAGTAAATTATATAAAATTCTTCATGGTGGCATAGGAATACCACATATCAGGTACGTTACTTAAAATTAATCTTATATAATGTATAAATATTCAATTCGTGTGAATATTTCTTATATTTATGCAGGTTTTATGAAAATATTAATGGTGTTTATTGAAGGTCAAAAGTGAAATTGACATTAAAGTTGTATTGTTCACCGTTATTTACATTTCTTGCTACTAAAGTTTAGGCAAAATCGACCTTGTCAGGTGGAGCCTACATAAAAGCTGACTATTTTCAGCTGCTTTAAATATTCATACCTCGATTTATACGTTAATTAGAGTATATTTTATTTTATATAGTGATATAACTTTAAATTATTATTGGATATTTGGTTAAAATAGCACAATGCTTCTACTTACAGTTTTATATACTAGTTTGTTACTTATGATGTCCTTAATGATCAATTTGTATTTTAAAGTAAGTAATCAAACTTTCTTACATTTATAGGATACCTACCTATATAGGAACATTATTTGCTCAAATTCAAAGTAATGATTTTTAAGAGAATATAAGGTGGTAATAAAAATTTAGTGAATAAATTGGTAGAATAAAAATAGAAATAGAGCTTCTCAATTTATATTCGGATTTTATTGGTAACCGTTAAAATAATGTTATTTACCTAATCAAAATTAATATTTTAGCCACATACATTATAATTTTATCTAAATGTTAATATATTAGATGTAACTCAGTTCTCAAATTATTGAAATTATACAAAAAATACCATCCAAGTTATTTTTACACAACATAGATTAAAATTAAGTGAAAAATTCAGATGAAAATTAATTCTTTTAATACATTTATTTGACTGTAAGTGACAAAGGATATTCTTTAAAATCATGAAAAACTAAAACGGTCAACCAGTTTATTTTCTTCAAATAATATGAGTTACATATTTCTAACTAGGTATATTGTTTAGCTATAATTTCAATATACTATTCTTTATTCTAAATAAAAAACGTGTAGATTTAGAAAGTAGCATGTCACCTCTAATTTGCATTTTGTAAACCAATTCTGTGTACATTATTAAAACAGTAAATTGTTATTCATCAGTTTTAGTATATCAAACGCATTAACTTAAATTGACCCTTTATGTTCTCACTTGAATGCTCACATAAATATTTTTTCAAATTTTAAAAAACCAGACTTGCTAAACGAGTACCTAAGACTTTTCTTTTTAAATAAATAACTAACCAAATATTTACTTGATATGTGTAGTCATTGTAATTTTAAGTTTTGTTAAATGATGTGTACTTTCAAAATAAATATGGATTATTTTCCTCGAATGCTTAGTTAGATAAATAATGCACACTTTTTGCTATGTATTTTATAAACTTCCATCATGATTATACTTTATTTATATTTTTCTAATTTAACCATAAACAGAGTAGGTGTTTATCAAAATGTTACTGTTGCCGTAAAAGTATAAATAATTAAATTTGTAGCAACTTGAGATAGAAGTATTTAAAGGAACTGCTATTGTTTTAACTGTATCATAACAGTAAGATGTAATTTTTATTTTACTATTCTTTACTATTAAATTGCTGCTTAAGTGTCATTTTTACTTCCATTAAATGTTTTGTTTTTTTTTCAAAATTATTCTTATATGGCAGATAAAATACAAAAGGCAAAATTACTGTAAAGTAATTATTTACTCACTGATTTTTGCTTTTATGATTTAAAAAAGGTACAAATTTGACATTAATTTAGTACACGCGTGAAACATGAATTCATTTTATGAGTAAAAACATGTTTTATATATTTGCTTACCAATTAAAATTGTTTTAAAATTAAAGTCGGTATAAAATTTTTAGATGTACAATAATTATAAATTTAACAATATAACAGTTGTTGGAATATTTTAACTTTTTTGTTTTATTTTTATTCATTTATTCTGAATTGATATTGACAAAAAGGGCAATATTATATACAAACAATTCAGACTTTTTCTGCCACAAATAGAATAATTATTAAGTAAATAAATTGTACTAGTCCAAGCTAAGGAGCATAAAATAATGTCACATTTCGATTAATAAAAAATTTGTAAAATTGGCACGCACATGCGTCATATCCCCCTCACCCATGTCTCTTTTATTTGGGTAATACTTGAATAATTAATTATGGAATTAAATATTTTAATGTCCATATTTTAGCCATGGTTTGCCTCTCCGATTTTTTATGATTGTGGTGCTATATACTATATCTAAAGACAAAGAATATCAAACCAACCATGGGCGTAGTCCCTTTCTCTTCGTTGCTTCATAGAAATTATACAGAATATTTAGCCTAAAAATTAAAAATATAATCGGAATCAACATATTTTCGTGTTCTTTATGTACAGTTGCAACAGTAAGGATTGAGGAGTTTTTATAAATCCTAGAAAATATAAATTTATTTATAGTAGAACTGGTCTAGGTTGCACATTTCAAATCGAGTTTCGAATAAACTTTCTCTAGACGTCTGATAAAATATTATTTAAAATACAAAAGGATTTAAACAAACTTTAACGCCCGCTTAAAATAAAACAATGCATACATGCAGTGATATTAATTCTAATAGAATTCGTAGGTATTTGACGTATTTATTGAGAACCGTGAGTATAATATATTCTCCAGAGAAAATCCTTTTAGTTGAGTTTTATTTTTAGATTTTAACCTTGCGGTTTTACGTTATCCTGAGTTTACTAGTAAATTCATAATAAAATTCAGAATTGAATAGAAGGATATAGACTGCCGTTTGACAATTAAATACTAGAACAAGATTAATCGATTCTAGCTAATTTATGGCAATATTCCATTAGAAATAGCATAGAGTACGCATACGTTAATATATCTACGTGAAATGAATCGGGTAGTCCAATGAAATTTGAAAACAATAACCCCGTATTTCAAAGAAATATGAACTGATTCAAATATACAGACAGATATCCATGTTAGAAAAAGGCGGGAAGGATTTATTGTGATTCGCGTAAATTGGGCAAATGACTAAAAGTTTAATATCAACCAAACCAGTAGTAATTTATACTAATAGCAACCGTCACAATAAATAGGTACACAAATTTTCATTTATCATCATAAATTATAGCAGGGGCGTTAATGCATATTTTCTGTTAGGTATTATGATTTTTACAGTCGTAGATGATCCCTATACAAATTTCAATTCATTAATTTAAAATAACTTTCATTTCGAGGAACAACTATATATATTCATTTTGTTGCCAAACTAATGGCGTCGTCCGACATTTCGGTCAAGCTTTCCTAATATGTTGTTCCTACTAAATATAATGCAGTAGAAACATTTTGGCAGCATTATATTTCATTCCAAATTTGAAAGTAATTGAATGTATGTTAAGACTTGTCAATTTTACAAATAGGTTGTAGAAAAATGATTATTGTTTCTATTTTAGGAAAGTCGCAGAAAAAAGTTGACGCAAAATGATCATTAAATCTGATTTTGTTTTATTCAGTAATTCGTTTTGAATATTTAAAATAATTTTAAGATAATTCTTAGAATACACGAATTATGAAGCTTTAAAGAGACACGTGCCGATGTATTATGTGACCATGGAACACATCAATCAATTAATAATTAATCTGTAGATTAGATATTCGGAAAAATTAACTATAATCTAGATTCCGTTACTTACAACTAAAAACTGCATTCCGAGATTTTTCAATTCATATCGTATAGAATATATCCCGTAAGCTGCAAAAAATAATATGAAACATCCAACTGTGTTTCTTTCACGGCCAATGTTGGTAACTATTTGATTTACTATTAATCTGCCACAAAATAGGCAATAAACAAAAAAACAAAACAATATAAATAAAAAAAAAGTGTTCTATGGGTTACATAACATAACAAACTAAACAAGAATACAAAAAGATTCTAGTCATATATTATATATTATAGATAATATTATAAGCGAAACTTTTTTTAAGTTAAATGCAAGCATAGAAACGTCATCTACGCAAGATCGATCGGACTGTGAAAAAATATAGTTTGATTTGGGAAAATATACAAAGGTGTAAAATTAAGGGCATTTGGTGTCCTGCAAGAAGTCAAAACAGAATGCAGGGCAATTGCTGAAAAATTAGCTCAAACCGTTGACTTCCACCGAAATTCAAACGTTTGGCAATCCTACTTGCAACAACGTCATTGCTTACAGTGAAAGCTGGCGATGAACGCCAACAGAATTCTTAAAAAACCGTACCTTTAGGTGATATGAACGGTAAAGCTGTGTGCACACTTATAACTGAACTTTGTACCAAATCTCGTCCTGTAAGTTCCGTTTACACAATAGTGTTTATACGAGTGTTCAACTTACAGGAGGTTTATTTACTACGATATTCTGTTACAAGTGTGCACACAGTTTAAGCTGTTATTCATTCAGTCTCCACCGCAGCAATCTGTAAATACAATGAAATCTCTATTAACAGACATAAACGACCACGTCTTTTGAACGAACAATTTTACGGGATCCAATGTAATATCGTAATAATTCCTTTAAAATGTTTGTCTATCGAGCGAACACTCCAATAAACAGACACGGATATACGATATGATATAACTGGATGCAGCAGCACGAGTTTTTTGTTTGCATGTCGGTGAAACACATTATAGACGATTTGTTTTATTTCTCTTGTAGTATGATAATGACAAACAGCAAAGAGTTTGTGTTTTATTATTCGGCATCGTTATGTATAGTGGCCCATGACTTGGATACGTGCATAATTTTTTGCAAGAGTCCGTACTTCATCAAAAAAAAATTCTTATTCAGTCTTAGCTAAGTATTAAACATTATCGGCTGCAGTGAAATTACCTATGCTACTGGCGCCTAGGAAACATTATTGAAATTTATAATACAGAAAACTCAGCGTGTGTAATTTGGTCATTCGATTTAATATTGAAAAAACAGACGGATGGTATTACGAAGAAGGAGAAAGGGTGTTTTTTAAAAACCTCAGGGTCAGGGTCTCAACATAGACAAGTTGTACTATGAGTGTTTAT